CTATAGCTGTTGGCTTAGGGGGCCTATTTTCCCGGACTTATTGACTTATAAAACATGATGCCTTTATAGCCTGAAAATAAGAATATACTATCAAAGTTGAATCATAAGGTTTTTTGACTTGCAATTTTAGTTAATTTTATACAGTCTATAAAGGTAGGTAAATAAATTTCTTTATTTTTCAAAACATTTGCTATAAGCCTATAACGCTATGTAGGTACACAATTAAATAAAACAATATCACGCAATATCCCTCGGCAATGACTACGTCACTCCGTTCCGTAAATCGAAAATATCCCTCATCGACTTGATATGCAAAACCACCTCAAGTAGGTATACCTATAGGTTACAGGGACAACACAATTGTGGATATGTGAAAATTTAAGATAAAATAACAATAATCAGAGGCGATAATCCAACACGAAAACGTAGGAAAGAAAAGTACAGCGTTTGGCGCATGCGTATGTGTAAATAGGTACGTAAAAAGGTAAACTTTGGAAAGATAATTTTATTTTTATCTTTGGTAGCCAATTATTTATTAWGGCATTTAAAATGACTTAGTCGAACCTGGACATTTCGCCGCAAACCATGTTTAGAACATGTCCAACCACTTACATATACCCTGAAACATACATGGCATATTTATTTTTAGTTCAGATTTTTTGTATAGACGTTTAAATAGTAAAAATAATTATTTCTTYTTCTTCTTCATAACTCTCCAAGAGTTTTTGCCGCCATCACTAAATCACCCCACTTATCTCGATACTGTACTATCTCCCTCCAATTCTGTGCTCCAAAGTCTTCCAAATCTTTTCCGAGGACGACCCTTTGGCCTTAATTATTTGGATCTAGGATAAAAAAGCCATGGATAAAAAAAGACATGAAAATTTAACTATGTGTCCCTTTTTTTATTTAGGTATCTATAATCTATCTAATTTTAAAAGATTTTTGCTATACGACAATGGTTCAAACTCGGATGAACGTATAACAATTTTCGCCACAGATGACGGCTTAAAATTGTTATCAGAAGCTGAAGAATGGTTCATGGATGGTAACTTTGCAYTATCGCCKACGGAATTCCAACRACTATATGTAATACGGATTCAARTAAAAACAATATTTATTACACCTGTATTTTGCTTATTAAAAAGAAAAACCCAGTCTAGTTACGAACAATTAATTAAAATTKTATTAGAAAAATGCAATGAGAGGGAAATTTATCTTGATCCTCTTATAGTACATGTGGATTTTGAAAARGCTGTGATTGAAGCATTAAAAAATACAATTGGAAACCATATTTGTATTAAAGGATGCTTTTATCACCTTATCCAAAGCACACATAGAAAAATACAGAATCTTGGACTTGAAAATATGTATAGAAATAATAATGATTTTAGTGTATTTTGTAGAAAACTWGATAGTCTAGCATTTTTACCAGAAAACAAAGTTTTAGAGGGAATGGATTTTTTAAGAACAATTATGCCACCGGAGGCAACTGATTTAGTCAATTATTTTGATACCACATATATCCATGGGTCTTATAGAAGTGTTCAGCATAATCCTAATAATGGTATCAGACTTCGAAATATTGCACCGCTCTATCCACCATCAATATGGAATGTCTATCAAACTACCCTTGATAATGGACATCGAACTAACAACGAAACAGAAGGGTGGAACCATCGTTTTTCAAAATTAGTAGGCCACAATCATCCTTCTATTTGGACATTAATAAAGAAAATGAGGTTAGAGTTGTCTTCTGATGAAACAAAGTTAGCCCAATTCGCTATAGGCAATTTAAATAAAAAATTTAAAAAAAAACGTATGAAAAAATGCAAGAAAAATTGTATAAAATATGTAGTGATGGCTTAACACAGCGTACAATAGACGAATATTTGACAGCTATTGCTTACACAATAAGATTATTTTAATTATTTGTTATTTTATATTATATTTTTAAATTGTAAATTTTAACTTTTCTAAATTATATTAATTGTATTCAATTTTAACATATCAACGGATGTATACAATTTTTTTTTCTTATATTATTGTATTATTATTTATTATAAAATGTACAAGTAATTTTGTTGTTGAAAATTCATATGATACTTGATTTAAAATTCGTGTATTTTTTATCCGTATCTTTTTTATCGGTGGCTTTTTTATAACGTGGATTTTTTATCCCATAACTTTTTTATCAACGTTTTTTTTATCCGTGGCTCTTTTGTCCATGACTTTTTTGTCGGTGGCTTTTGTATCCGGTTACCTAATTATTTAGGCCTTTTATTATTATAATCTAACGGGATTTCGAATAAAGGAGAAATATTCGASTAGACATTTCAATTGTTTTTCATACAGGCAACTTATTTACACTACTGCAGTACTGCCGAATAGGCAACCACTGTCTACAATTTCAGGTGGTTATGTCTATGTCACGAATTCGTGGTCTACGTCAACGTGTCATCATTGACTGTCCCGTACAAATGTACAATCATAGATATTATYTATGCGTATAATTGGTATAATTGTCGTATGGAGWCATAGATAATATATTCAATATTGTATATTATWATCCATTATTTGCTGAAGGTTTTACAAGGTATTACCACAGAATATATTTCATAATATATTATTCTGTGGTATTATCGTAGTACCAGCACAGATTATATAATCTGTGGTACCAGTGTCCAGTATCGTCCCGGAAGTACCATAAATAAAGGAAAGATACATTAAATTTTAAATACTTTCCCTTATCTATGGGCCTATGGGAACTGACAAGTACGACTTCAACAATATATTGTATGGGAACTATTTATTATAAATWAGTTTATACTTTATGGATAATTATTATAATATAATAGGGATATAAATGATATAATTATTATTATATAAATCCAAATCACTGTATTCTGTATTTCTGAATAATACCGATGTATCGAGGATATTATTAATAATTATTACTTATTACATCATAATATTTTATGGTTATTGGTTATCACTTATCAGTTATCGCTTATCGAAAAAATTACAACCGTTGTCATAACATGATCACGTTTATGACTTTATGTTTTGATCGAATTTTATTGTAACGAAAGTGCCTACATTACATTCTGTAATATTTGTAATAATTTGTATCACAGGACATAGATTTAGATCAATAATTGCGTGTTACAGACGTCTAACTCTACTCTGTTGCTTATTATGTATCATGTATTCGTGTATACCTGGTAATTCAGTTGATAATAATTACGCTTAATTGCTTTATCCGCGTTTAGTTTATATTTATTTTATCGATTATCGGTATTCGAGGTCATGTTTAGATAAAACTATGGGAAAAGTAAGTTGTCTGATTTAAAAAAAAATTGTGTAGTTTTTAATTTTTTATCAATGCACAATTTTTTAATAATTTAAAATAAGCATAACATTAATATATTTCTATTTACGTATTCGTTTATTTATCTTATCTTAAATAGGTACCTACTCGAGTTAATATCATGGATTTAAATAATACATCATGGTGTAACATGTCTTACAATTTTCATATTAGTCTAAATATTACAAGTTTTGTTTACATAAGTGTACAACATAATGCTTTATGTGATTCTTAACAGCAGTCTGCTGTACGATTATAAAAATATGTACATATGACAA